GAGTCAGAAAATGAGTGGGAGAAGATTCTTAAGCCCTTTGACCTCAATGAACTTAGGAAGTCACTTGTTCAAATCACTCCAATTCAACTTTGTAAGTTGCTTCAACTTCCACTCGATGTGCCCTCGTCGATGGAGATATTTGAGTTGGTTGGCGCCCAGAAGGGGTATTGCCATTCTTTTGATGTGTACTATGTGTTAATTGATAAGCTCGGGGCAGCCGGGGAATTTAAAATTATAGATAGGTTGTTGATGCAGATTAAGGAGAAGGGGTTTAATTTTAGTGAGTCCCTTTTCATTATGATTATGAAGTATTATGGGAGGGCTGGTTTGCCCGGACAAGCGACCAGGCTGCTTTTAGACATGAGAGGCGTTTATTCATGTGAACCGACTTTTAGATCGTATAATGTTGTATTGGATATACTTGTGGCTGGGAATTGCCCTAAGGTTGCTCCCAATGTCTTCTATGACATGTTGAGTAGAGGTATCTCTCCCAATGTTTACACGTTTGGAGTGGTTCTGAAAGCACTTTGTATGGTTAATGAGGTGGATTCCGCTTGCTCGCTTCTAAAAGACATGACGAAGCATGGTTGTGTGCCAAATTCAGTGGTTTACCAGACTCTTATACATGCACTCTCCAAGAATAATCAAGTGAATGAAGCATTGAGACTTTTGGAGGAAATGTTTTTGATGGGTTGTACACCTGATGTTCAGACTTTCAATGATATTATCCATGGTCTTTGCAAGGTCAATCGGATTCATGAGGCAGCAAGATTGGTTGATCGGATGCTTGTCCGGGGGTTTACTCCTGATGATGTGACTTACGGAGTTTTAATGCATGGATTATGCAGAACAGGGCAAGTTGATGAAGCAAGGGCATTGTTGAACAAAGTGCCTTCCCCAAATATTGTGCTTTTCAATACCTTGATTAATGGTTATGTTATGAGTGGACGGTTTGATGAAGCCAAAGCTGTTCTATATGATGGTATGTTAGGTAATGGCTGCAACCCTGATGTATATACATTTAACATACTGATTCATGGGCTCTGCAAGAAGGGCTGTTTGAGTTCTGCTCGTGAATTGGTCAGTGAGATGGAAATTAAGGGCTGCAAGCCTAATGTAATAACTTACACCATAATGATTGATGGGTTCTGCAAGGAGGGCCAACTGGAGGAAGCTGGTGATGTTTTAAATGAGATGTCATACAAGGGACTAAGTCTGAATACCGTGGGATACAATCGTCTAATTTCTGCTCTATGCAAGGATGGGAAAGTCCAGGAAGCTTTAAAATTGTTTTGTGAAATCTCAAGCAAAGGATGTAAGCCAGACGTATTTACGTTTAGTTCTCTAATATTTGGACTGTGCAAGGTTGATCAAATGGAAGAGGCATTGGGATTGTACCGTGATATGTTACTGGAGGGTGTTGGCCAACACTGTTACTTACAACACGTTAATTAATGCTTTCTTGACAAGAGGTGCAATACAAGAAGCACTTAAGCTTGTAAATGAAATGGTATTTAGAGGATGCCCTCTCGACAAAATAACCTATAATGGGCTAATTAAGGCACTCTGTAAAGCTGGAGCTGTTGAAAAGGCAAGGGGATTGTTTGAAGAAATGATGATGAAGGGACTTCATCCTGATAGTATCTCCTGTAATATTTTGATTAATGGTATGTGTAGAAGTGGCAAAGTATATGACGCACTTGAGTTTCTACGAGATATGATTCATCAGGGTTTGATGCCAGACATAGTCACTTATAATAGCCTCATAAATGGTCTATGCAAGATGGGAAACATTTGTGAAGCTTTGAATCTCTTTGATAGATTACAAGCTGAAGGGATGTGTCCTGATGTTATTACTTATAACACTCTGATCAGTTGGCACTGCAAACAAGGAATGATTGATGATGCTAGTTTACTTCTACATAGAGGCGTGAATAATGGTTTGATACCAAATCATTGGACTTGGTATATACTGGTCAGCTACTTGTCTAAAGAAAGGGGAGAGGTGAATCAGAGCTTTATTGGTATTGATCGGGAGGAATCTTATTTTAGTTTCTTCTAGTCTAATTCTTTTCAAATACTAGAATCCCTATGGTATTGCTTGGATGTATTCCTTCCGAAAGCATTTATGGTCATGGTGATTGGAGGTGGATGTGGAGGTACTTCATTATGGCTTTGTGCCAGAAAAAATGATATTCCAGATATTGATCTGAGATCTTTTGCACCGTATTCAGGTTGGTGCTTGTGCCAAAAGCTGGCTGGCTGTCTCAGATTACCCTCGTCAGAGTTTGCTGCTGGTTGAGGCAGAACAAATTCACCTTACAATGTGAGAGGTAATCCTGGCCAACCTTACAGGATATACAATATGCTTGCATTAACTAGAATAAATGCCTCATAGTTTCCTCGTCGTGATTCTGGTGAAAGAGACATCATGTGCATACTTGTGGTTTTTTTTTTTATATTCTGCTAGGCTGTATGTGTGAAAAGGAGATAGCGTTGAACGCAAAGGTATAAAAGGAATTTTTAGCAATTATAGTGATAAAGGTAATAATGTTTGTTTGAGACCCCTCAAGTCAACAATCGTTGATTTCTGTACACTACATAGGAATAGGATTGCCCATGAGAGTTGGTACTAATTATTCATATCATGACGACCAATCATGTGGACATTGTGGAGTGTTTTTGAAACGAGACAGCTTTTTTTTCGTGTTAGCTTATCAGCTTAAGGAAGTCATTATATTGCAGGTTTATGCTTACAAGGAGTGGGCAAGGGATCAAGGTAACGATTGTTCTTGGAAGCATGAAGGACCAACACTGAAACAAAGTCTTAGTCTAGGCATCTCTAACAAATAAAGGTTTGCCAGCGTTCTCCTTAGACGTTTTCAGCTTCCTTCAGTCTAGACGATCACTATATGCCTCATCTTTCATGAGCAATCATCATTTGTAATCCATAGCACAAGGATTCTTTGGTACTGAAGGGTTCCTGATTTATTTATTTTGCAATGTTTTTATGATCTTGGCTGGCAAGTGCTGGTTGCTGATAAATTTTGTTTTGCACTTTTATGTTTTGTTGCAGGAATCTTAAATGTGTCATATCGAAGATGTAACGCTCTTCTGTAATACGAGACAAGGGATATTAAAGCGATGACGGATGCTTGATAACTTCACCATAAGGACTTGCGGTTTCTTGCGTCGTATGTTCGTCACTTGATAGTTGGTAATGTGAGGAAAGGAATGCTTGGAATCTTGACCTACTTTTGAATGATAAATTGATCTCTGTGTCACCTGTCATTGTATCAATACCACTGTTAAGAGCCGATCGATGGCATGTCAAATGCGATGTTTCAATCATGATACAAAACCAAAACCTACCTTGTAATTGTAGTTCTTGTACCATGTACAAAAGGAACTCATCCTAAATCCAAATACCGATTGAGGAGTGATTTTCACACTACATTTTTTTTTTCATATCAACTCAAGGGAAAAGAGGTCGCACTTGGTGCAATGGCAAGTGCCTTCGCCCATGAGCGGTAGGTCTCGGGTTTGAGACTTGGGAGCAGTCTTTCCATAAATGGGGGTAAGGCTAGCCGACATTCACCTCTCCCAGACCCTGCGTAAAGCGGGAGCCTTGTGCACTGGGTACGACCTTTATCAACTCAAGGGAAAAAATCCAACGGAGGAAAGCATAAAGAGAAGACAAAAGTGTGAAAGTCATTGCAAAGTTTGGTCTTGTGGTTGTTCTTTGTAAGTAGAGATTTTTAAAAGTGACTGTAACACTACTATGTGATATTATTTCTTTAGTCGCATGACATGTATGTATTAACTAGTACTATTTAAAAGTGACTGTAACACTACTATGTGATATTATTTCTTTAGTCGCATGACATGTATGTATTAACTAGTACTATATTCTAGGAGCATGCGTCCACATCTCTCTCTCTCTCTCCCTATATATATATATATATATATATATAAATAAATATATGAAAATTTTAAGGAAAAACTTCTGGTATTGTTCACTTTAACAAAAAGTTTCCGGTACTGTTTACTTTAACGAAAAACTACATTTTTACACTAAAAAGTTAATCATGGTACTATTCATTTTACCTTTTATTTTGTCCTTGTCTTTAAACTTAAAATTTTCAAGCTATTTTCATTAGTTTCCTTAAATATATATACACATGTTTGATTTTATTTTGTTTGGCCGAAGCTTGAGGTATCTCACATCCCGTAGGGTAGGACCGTAGGGCTAATAATCTTCAATTGGGTCTAGAAAAGCATTTTAGCCCATCTTGATAACAATCAAATGACACACATTCACCTATTTTACGACAGATGAATTTGTAAAACCACATAACTTCAATTCACGCGTACCAACAAGTGCAACAAACTCTTATTTTAGTGATATTTCTCTATCCAACATTCTGAGATATCAAGTTCAAACCCCCCTCCACTCCACGGTGATTAAAGGGATACTTAGTTGACATGCTAAGATCAACTTCAACCTTTGGAGTAAAACTCAAATTTTATATTCTAAACCTACCCCAACCTGCTCCAACCATTGGGCTAAAAATGAGTTTTAACCCAAAACTTAATTTTGGGGCAAATTTTAGCTAGGATTCTCCGCTAGATTAATGGGCTGGCCCACATATGAGAGTGGATGCACCCAACAGAGTTCAAAAGCGCGAGCTTCACTCGCCCAACAATGCATGCGCGAAGCGCTAACTAGATCCCACGCACGTGGGTGTGTCGGCCACCATTATCAGCCCAACGATTAATTGGACCATTGATTGTTCTAACAGTCTAGATTCAAATTTATTTAATTTTTTATTTTATATTTATAAATTTATTGAATCTAATGGTTGAGATCTTACATGATCAAATCTAACGGTTAAAAAAATTAATCTAATAACATAAAATTAAATTCAATGACTAAAACAATTAAATAAATTTTGGGTATAAAGTGCAATTCCTAACTTTCCTCCGCCGGATCGAGAGGGTCCACCGGTTGTCCCTTTTTTTTTTTCAATGAAAAGGCATTAGATTAGCTTATTCTTCAAGCTGACAATTACGGAACTTGAATCGCTCGACTCCATTCTGCTGTCTCGACGATCGCATACTGAAGACAGAGAGAGGGAGGGTGAAAGGGCATCTACATCAACCTGAATACACACTTGCGAGTACGTTTTTCTTTCCCATTTCTCATCTACTTGGATTATTCTTCGCTTTCTGTTTGGTTGCCGAGAAAGTTCGAGGAAACCACATAGAAAATTGAAATTTCAACAATAACAGGCAAAAACAATTCGAAGTCAGCGACTTGAGGTTCTGTGATATAACTTTTTATTGTCGTTGATTAGTTGGTTACCAGATTAGATCATTAGAGATTCATCTCGACATAACAAATTCATGGTTGAATTGGGTTTGGGTATTTTCTGAATTTGGTTATTATGATTACCATTTTATCCGAATACAAGTTTTAGTTTAACTGCTGTGTTTTTAGCTGGGAAAGATTGATAATTGCTTGATTGTGGTGTGTGTATATAGATTAACCATTTGCTTGATAACTAAGAATAATGGGAAAGAAGATGTTAGATTAAAGTTTGGTATTGTGTAATTTAACCGAATTCAGTTTCGGTGAATCGAAGAATTTTAGTTAGACTAGGGCGTTGTGGTTTTTTTGGTCAGCTGGAGCAATGGAGGTTTTGTTCATTTTGTTTTCTTTTTTCCCAAGTCCCGGGTTATGAATGATGTTACTCAATTGCTGCCTTTCTAAAACTATTAGAGGGGGGTACTTTGTATGCCAATTGCTTTCTTCAATTGGATTTGAATGTATAAGAACTTGGATTCAAAGTTATGATTATTGGGTAATGAGCTATTTGCTTGAAATCAATTTGGATACTGGAATGAAGTTGTAGTAGAGTTAATGGTTGGAATCACATTGGCTTTTGGAAATTTTGGAGTCAAAGTTAAGCACACAAAATTGTTCCGTTTTCAATAAAATTGAAGTTTTGACGATTTTAAGCTTAGTGGATTACTTTTACTCCTTAGCTTATATGAATTGTGGACTTTTGTCTGAACGATGATGATTTGTGAGTTTCTTAGCGTGATGACATACGAGTTTGGGCCTGATACCCATCTCACTTCGTAAACACTAACGGAGATGTCATATATTTTTCTTGTTCCTTTAGTTGGACATAACATTTTTTGGTACTCACCAATTAATATATCTATAAAGTAAAAAATATTTACTGAGAATTTTGTTATATCTTTTTCCTCTTGAGTCTTAAGGAGGTGGGAGGGGAGCTTGACCTGTTTGGCTGAGTTTCCAAAAATATTTTTAAACATAGTTATCAAAAGCAGTAGTAAACAGTGTTAATCTGTTGTGTATTTAAGATTTGTAATTGATAGGGTGTAATCAAGAGTCCTAATTGTCCCCGTTTCATGTATTTTGTCTTATTGGATGGTTATCATTTAAGTTTGGCTATCAGGGTATGGTACTATTGTATTTTAGAAAAGCCATCTCATGATCTTTTTGGTATTAAAATGTGATGTTTCTATTATCTTTTGACAGGAAAGATTGCTTGAAATAGTTTTTGGGAACTTCATTCGGCTTAGAAATGGAGAATGATAACGATTTCACTTTTTGTCAGGTAAGCGTTATATGTACATTTTGCTATCAAGAAAGTTATATCCTTGAAATATGCATTGTTTCAATGCATTATCTGCAGTGGTTTGTGTTTCGGGGATATGATTGATTGGCGCTGGTTTTTGTATGTCATAATTCTATATTGATGTAAGGTCTGTGGTATATGTTCAGGTTGGTCCACCAGGCAACCAGGATGGTTATGAGACAAAGAAGCTCACTTCAGATATAGAAAACATTACCATAAAGGATGGATTTTCAAATGGAACTAGTAGTAATGAGAATAGAGGTGTTCTGTGGCAAGGTGGATTACCAGGAGGAGCCACTTCCAAAAAACAGGAAACAGTTGGTTCTTTGTCTGTCAGTGTCATTGATGCATCATCCATGAAAAAGAAATCTGAAGTTCCGAAGCAACTAAAATCAGGTGATGCTGGAAAGTCAGTGAAGCCTGCAACTCGTGCTAAAGTTCCTTTTGAGAAGGGGTATAGCCAAATGGATTGGCTCAAACTTACTCGAACACATCCTGACCTTGCAGGTACTTAGTTAAATGTGCTTCGGCTGAAATTGCTTCTCATATGTCATAACTTTTATTCTTCCTGCCAATACTTTTCTTGACTTTTTTTTCTTGTCATGTGTGTTATGGTAGCTATGATGCATACATAATCCTAAAGGCAATTATCAAAAGATGTAAAGAAAATACTTTCAAACTTTGCACAATGAAATAAATAGAAGGTTGGATTGGGAGGGCTTGTATTTTAGCTCTACAAGTTTATTGAGGTTCCTAATTCATCCTTGTTGGAGAACATGTTTAGGAATTTTATGTACTCGTAGCAAGCCTATTCGTTGTGAATTTGTGATGCATGTTATTATAAGTTCAGGAAACAGCTTGTGATATCTAGGGTATTTTTAAGTGCAGTAGTGATTATATCAGGGTTAGCTTCTCAAGATACAAATTGTGTCTCAGGTTTAAAGGGACAATCAAATAAGAGGCTTATTTCACTGAATGAAGTTAAACAGCACCAAAAGGGAGATTCAATGTGGACTGTTCTAAAAGGCCGTGTGTACAATTTGTCTCCATACATGAGATTTCACCCTGGAGGTATGTACATATTTTAGTCTGTTCAAGTTCAAATGTTAGCTGGAGTGAGCAGTGTCATCCCAAGTGTGTATTGCTAACACCTTTCTCCATAAACCCCAAAATTTTAAAGTATTTATATCAGTAGGCATGTTTTATCGGGTTTTTGTAAGTCTTCTTATTGAAGTTTTATTGCTCCACTATGCCAACTTAGCCGACAAAATAAATTTAATAGGATGGGACATCTATCGTCTATGAGAAGTGCTATACCAGAAATCTGGGCAACTTTTGTTTCCTCTATATTTTTAATGAAGATTAGCTATATAAGGGATGTGGACTATTGATTTAAGTTGACTTCGTGGATGTGTGGCAACTCTGAGCTCATTAATGACATAGGAAGAGTAACAAGGTAGAAAGGCAAAGCGTTTGCTTATAGGGCAATCTGATGTTAACAATATTATCTCTATATAAGCCTTTGCAAATGCATTACCACCAATATTATTAAATCCTTCATATTGCAATTGGTATAATTCTGTCACCAAAAAACTGCTTAGTGATGAGATCTAACTCCGATCCATAAATGGTTGACTTGCGAGAGTTTCGGTATGTATTATTTGGTCAGAACTGCATGACATACTATTCCTGATTCTGACGATTTCTTTTTCTTCAGGTGTTGATATTCTAAAGAAGGCTGTGGGAAAAGACTGCACATCTTTGTTCAGTATCCTTTTCTATACTTAATTGGTTATGTGTTGTTGAGTCTTATTGTTCTTAAGCCTGACGTCTCCATGAAAACAAGAGAATAGATTTGCTACCACCATATTATGTGTTGTTGGATGAGTTTTTATTTTTGGGATCCATGTAGCGGGTTGATTAAATCAAACTCTTCCAATGGAACATAGAGCGGGTGGTGAGCAAATGTATTCTCTGCGAACAGAACTGCCCATAAAATTGTTATTTTTAGTGGGAAGATTTTATTTTATTTTATTTTTTTCTTGTTCACCAAAGTCCCTAGCATTTCCAAAACTTGAATAGGAATGTCGGATTCTCTTGGTTCCTGATTCATCTCATTCCAAGGAATGAGTTTAGGATCCCTGAAATCCGATGTGGCGAAATAACGCAACCAAAAAGGTTCTCCTAAGCCAGACCCAAACTTCAGCAAATCTAACAATGCCTACAAATCAGCAATTTGTGTGGGATCATCTTCATTTTATTTTAACTTCTTATAAAGTGCCTTCGTCCATGAGCGGTAGGTCTCGGGTTCGAGACTTGGGAGCAGCCTCTCCATAAATGGGGGTAAGGCTAGCCGACATTCACCTCTCCCAGACCCTGCGTAAAGCGGGAGCCTTGTGCACTGGGTACGACCTTTATAAAGTGCTGTTAACTATTGCTCCTTACTACATTTGCTTTAGATAATACCATGCTTGGGTGAATGCTGAATTTTTACTCGAGAAATGTCTCGTTGGTACTTTAGACGATGGTGAAAGGCAACATTCCAGTCATTCGGAATCTTCGGCCCCCTCATGATACCGGCAGATTGGTACATCAATTTATTTTCCTATTACCACACTGGACAATTTTATATTTTCATTTTCGAAGACACACTTCTCACACATTGTGCCATGTTGTCAAATTGAGATGTTGTATATTATTGTTTCATAAGCATTAGAGATGTTCTTACATTCTATGGAACTTTATTGCATGTTCAATGAAATAATCAAAAGTTTAATTCATGTTAATACATAACCCTTGATTTTGAATGCTTAGTGGTGCATATTACTGATTCCGTTATCTCGTTTCGATATGTTTTTGTTTTCGCTAGCTGCTGTAATTAGCAAGGGCAAGGGGTTCTTAACAAGCTGTGCAATGTGATTATCACACCATTAAACATCCAAATTTAACATAAGCTACCAAAGAAAAATAAAGGTCCTTCACAAATAAAGCCCCTTTTAAACTTACATTAATGTCCAAAACACTTGAAGGTCTAGATCCGGTTGTTATAGAATCCAACCTTAACTAGTTAATCGGTGATAGATTTTTTAAGTTTATTCCTGAAAACTTTCATAAGTATAGTATGACAATACCAAACTAGTCCTAATTCTTTTTTATAACGGTAACACATCTGGCCCTCGTCAACGGCCAAATTTACAGAATGTCGGAATCATATTATCCGTTGCACAATCTCTATAATGATGTTGTAGTTTTGTGGTGACATAACTAAAAAACTCTCATTTAAGCAACAGGGGAAACCTTAACTTCATCTAGGATAGGGCCGCAAAGAGCTCCATAGTCCTTGGTGTGGTAGAAAGAGCTGAAGAACGTGATTCTGGTCCTGATTGAAACCGCTTTGAACCTGAAACTGGCCGTCTTGAACCCGCCTTTTCCTTTGGAGGTGAAGGGAACTTTGAGCGTTTCCTTGCCGGCAAATGCTTCAACCATCATTGATCCATGGCAGCCGTTTCTTGCATCACCAACTGTGAATGAAAGGCTGTAGAGCTTGTTGGGAACGGTTCTAAGAACCTGGGCTATGGCACTTTCTCTCCCCGCAACAAGCTCAACCGCGCCCTTGCCGAATGGAACATTGAAGTGTTTTGCGTCGATGAACTTTATGGCCTTGAGGGACTCGATGATCCAGCCGGGGAGCGGGGATGTCGCATCTAGTTGTTTTGGAGGGAGGAGTACACCATGGGAAGAGTTGAATAACCTGTGGGGAGCCTCTTCAAAGCCAGGGTTTCTGACCAAATTATCTGCAACGTCAAACATTCAATGATTTTGTAGGCTGAACACTGAAATGGTTACCAATCGAACTATTGACCTAGGAGCACAGTTCGATGCTTAAAACCTAAAAGCAAAGCGATTAACAAATCCGACACTACAAACCTTAAGTCTAACCTTTAAGTGATGATTCTATACCCTAAAACAATCAACCATGTCGACAAATGAGATCAAACCGAAAACACCAGTCGTGCACAGAGAAAGACCAAAAACTAGCAGAAACAGAGTTATCTATATACAATTTACCTCTAGAGGGGTACACGGGGAAAAGCTCCTTGATAGCAACTGCATCCAAGAGTGGACCACAAGCAGGATCCTCTTGAATCCCAGGATTGTGAAAGGTCACTTTAACAGTTTCAGAAGTTGCTCTGAATCCCCAAGCGTAAGTGTCGCCGCCATTGCTGCTGTACAAGGTTTGCAGAGGAAGGTCCCCTGCCTGGGGGGGAACTGACACCCTCAAAACCTCCTCTTGGGCACAAGTCCTCGATGCCCCAAATGTTAGGGCATACAGAGACCCTAGCTTGACCTTAATGGTCTGGGAGATTGAGGCATCATTGCCAAGCCTCACATGGACACCATGAGCTACGTCAAAGTACATTCCGCCAGGTTGCGGCCCCGCGGAGATGTACTCCACCAGGCCATCGATTTCCCATTTGGGCAGTGAATTTTTGCCTATGATAACTGTTTTCTTGAGGTCTGTTGGTTTTGGCGGTTCTTCAAAGTTGCCATTGGCCAAGAGTCCTGATTTAAACATGCAGATCACAGAGATGGCAAATAATTGATCAGGAAAAAGTTTCTTGGAAAAAGTTCAAAAAATATTTGTGGGTTACTACAGTACTAACACCATCTGACGGTCATATATGACCCGCATTACATTATACCTGACCGAAGCGTAGGGTGATAGTACTAAGTACTTGTAAGTATTGCAACCAATTCTAGAAAATAGAGTTTCTTTTTTTTGAACAAAAAAAAAAGAGTTTTAAGCAAACAAGATCAGTTCATAGAGAAAATGCTAAAAGTAGTAAAAACTTAAAGACAGTTCAGCAAAACAGATGAGAGAGAGAGAGAGAGTTTACCATCCAAAGGCAAAGCTGCAGAAGCAGGATTAGTGAGCAGCAATGCGAATGAAAGCAAAAGTGAGAGCAACCCAGTGGCCATTTTCACCATTAGAATGGTAACAGATGAGAGAGAGAGTGAGAGAGAGAGAGAGAAGGTGTTTGTGTTTGTTGTGGGAGAGAGGGAGGAGGGTTTAGATTTATAAAAGTGCGGAGGATAAGATGGGGAAATGGGAAAGAAGGAAAGTTATTGCAGAAATCGCGTTAAGAAGGAGGTGCCACCTGGCAACTTGCCTCCAAACCTCCCTTTAAATTCAAAGACCGTCTTCTGAGTCTTCTTCTCCCTCCGGTGGGTTTGTGTCTGGTTGTCCTCGACTTCTGGATTCCTGGATTCCGCAAACCGCCTCTCTTTCCGTAATTCATGCTAGTACTATTCTTGTAATTTTCATCGAAGTTCCAAAACAATAGGGAAAACGTACAAAGTTGTGTTGACTACCAAGCGCGTAAAACTACAAATCGAGGTTTAGTTTAGTTGACTAGAACACTATGTTTTTGCAACTATATTCAAGTTCGAATTCTACTCTAGGTCATTGACAATCATATCTTCAAAGAAACGCAGCTACATGTAGACTGGAGCAAGGTATTAAATATCGGTAATATCGGAAATATCGGTATTCTGAAAATACGGAAATATCGATGGAAATATCGGTAAAATATCGATATCGATAAAAATTACATGGAAACCACGGAAATTGTAAGAAAAACTTGGAAATTTTTATTGAAACTTTGTAGGATGTTTATTTAGTCAATTATCTATTAGTTTATCACAAAAAATTGGAAGAAAATGCATTGCATGGTGGATTTAACTGATTTAAGTTGATTATATAGCGAGCTGGCAAACATTGTGAGTGTAGAAAATATGTAGTAATTAATGAAAGAAGTTTAAACACACTATAATCATTTATATATAATGTAAATTTTCAAAGTATAATTCGTGAATTAATGTCTAATTGACGATAAATAGAAAAGACTCTAATATGGAATTAACCTTCACCTTGTCCATTTGTTCTAACGCTTAAAATAAACTATGGATATTAACTTAAAAACGAAAATTTTTAACTTGACACAAAAATTAAAAACCTAAAATTTCTTATTTCCCACCCTCAAACTTAAATCACACATTGTCCTCAAGGTGTGAAAAATAAATAAAGAAAAAAAAATAAACTGTAAATAAAAAGAACCTAAACTCAAATAAATATACTAAACTAAATAAAAACAGGAAAAGAACACACAAAAAAACTAAAAAGAACTGAACTAATAGAAAAACAAAAGAAAAAAAAATAGATATGAATTCACATGGGATGCTCTGCATCCCTCTGCCTCGAGACCAGAGCCGAGCCAACGGCTCTTTGCATCAACCCCGAGCCCAAAACAGCCCTTGATGTCCTTTCCATTTTTTTTATTGTTTTGTAGAAACCAAAACAACCTTTTAGAAAAAGGAGAAAGGCTCTCTCTCTCTCTTAGACCCCTCACTCTCTCTCAGTTTAGTTCTCAACTCTATCTCGTTCTCTCACTCCATTTCCCCGATCGCACCCACACCCAGGCACACCCAAATTTGTCCACCCCGATGCCAGCGCAGCATCTCCACCACCCTCATGAACTTTCCCTCCCTCTCCTCCATCTCTGGGAAGCACGGCGACGCGCAGAGGAACGCCGATGACCCCAAGGACACCCAGATCCGGCGAGGCCGTGAGTGTCGAGCCACTTTCCGAACACCTCCGACCGTTTCACGGCAAACGGAAGTTATAAAAACGTTCATCTCGTCTTCTATTTCATTTTCATACCTAGATCGGAGTCTAGGGTCCTGTTTTACAGTCGGCCGGAGCTTCTACAGCTCCGACGTTCTTCTCCGGGAAGCCTGTTTCGATATTATCGTTAATTTCGATAATATCGCGATATTATCGATAATATCGCGATATTATCTCGAAAACCATTTGGATAGTGCAAAAAAAATCGGTACTCCTGAAAACCGATAATATCGACGATATATCGCCGATATTATCGGCATTTCGGACCATGGACTGGAGGTTGCCTTAGCCTCAATGTAACTGGCTTACAAAGATTTTAAACTTTCATGTTATTGTGCTAGAAAATGGTTAGCAAATGTGTTATTAACGCCCCTTCCTCAAATTCGTTAAGCTTGGTTTGCACAGTAAAGTTTCAACGTTCATGTCATCATGTCTGACTCTAATACCTAAGTTATTAATGTAAAGCAGATAATTGTTTGGCGATATTCACATCCTCAATGTGTGTTTTTAGTTTTATATATTAACAGGAACAATAAGGTCAAGCTTGCCAAGTTTGGAAGTTTTTTTTTTTTTTTTTTTTTTTGTAGAGTCTCTTTCGGTTTAGGTCTTGAATCGTTTTGGGAAGGGTAGTTTACTTGCTTAGTGAAATGCTAAGGCACTATCAATGAAAGGCTTTTGCCAAAGTTATTGTGAAATTGATCCATTAGTGTCAGATAAGAGCAACCTGATCTTTGATACCAAAAACTAGTTTAACATTTCTCATGAAAAAGTTAATACATGCAGTGTGCATAATACGAACCTTCCTAAAGTATTAGCTTGTTATTTTATATGATGTCTTGTATCAAAATTAAGTAATTTTGCGACAAAATAATTGAAATTTAGGAAAACTAATGAAAATTGCTTGAAAACTTTGAGTTTTAATGATAAGGACAAAATAAAGGGTAAAGTGAATAGTACCAGGATTGACTTTTTAATGTAAAAATGTGGTTTTTCGTTAAAATGAACAGTACTGGGTGATTTTCATTAAAGTTCCTTTGAAATTTTGGGGTTTGAGTTGGGTTATATTGATAAATATTAAACAAATCAAATTAAATAAGCATTAAGCTAATATAAATCAAATTAGGTCCACTCAAAGTTGATTGATTGGATTAGTACGGTCATGGATGTCTTTTTGATATGCGGATAATACCTCGGGGATCGCGGCGTTGCGGTGGATGATTGTGTGTGATTCTGCATTTGGAGGGTCTGACGAAAGAACTTGGATTGTCTGCCTCCAATTTCTGTGCCCTTCACATGCCCTTCTGTTTTTGTGGTCACGGTTAAGCCACGTCAACATTTTATATTATTATTTTATTTTATTTTATTATTTTTATAAAAAAATAATATAAAATATTAACGTGGCTTAACCGTGACCACACAAAACAGGAGGGCACAAAGAGGGCACCTAAATGGGAGGGCACACAATCCAAGTCCCTGACGAAAATGGCTAGCAAAGATATGTCAGATTCTGTTTCTAAATTCATTATTTATTTGGTTTTTTAATGCTTAGTACACGATATGATAATATTCATATTCATTTATAAGTAAGAGATTTTACAAATAGTCATTTATTACAGTGATAGAGATAAGTGTTACCTTACACTACCGTGTAGGTTCAAATCTCATCAATTCTCTAATCTAACAAATTTACCATTTGATAAAAAAAATAATCGATTTTTATCAAAAGCAATTGCTAATATTGTATGTTAAAAAAAAAAAAAGTCTGCTAAATTAAACTCAGACGTGTGGGATCATCAGTCAATTTATAATCTAGGACTTTGGCATTTTTCATTTAGGAACCGACGCACTAACCTCAGTGTGAAAGAGATGTGTAAAAAATACAAATTAATTAAAGAAACAAAAATTAAAACAAGAGTAGAACCTTTAAATATCTAAATATTTACAACAGAAATATATATAATGTAAAACATGAGAAGATGTTAATTACAAAATTACTAAGAATAATCCATACACTAATAAGAGAAGATTACGCTACTATGTCTCGACGTTAAGAACTCCTCTATTTTGTAACTCTAAAAATCTAATTGTGCACATAATTTTTTTCATTTTAATTGTAAACAATGAAGTGCACAATTAAAATTTTAAAATACGAGTAACAATTTTCTTTTATTTTTTACTTTATTTATTTATTTATTTTACTTTTAGTACTACTTGCATTTTCCATATAAATTATAAGAAAAACTAACGAAAAGTTAAAAAAAAAATTAGTTTTAATGAAAAATGACAAATAAAGGTGTAGTGAATATTACCAAAGAAAGGTAAAATTGTGGTTTTTCGTTAAAAAGTGAACAGTACCAGGTGTGTTTCAGCTAAAACTCCCTAAATTATAACATTAACAACAAAAAGATGGAAAAAAAAAGTATGTATGAATATTTTGGGACCTACTGCTACATGTTAGCATTATGGATGATAGTGGAAGGACTGGTGGATCACTGAATTTGCCTTGATGACCTAATGGACCTATCAATGGTTCAATATTAGTTATTGTTTGTTAAGACTTAGGAATTATGTGATGCCACTTTTTGTTGGATGAGAGAAATTTATATCGACTTTATGACACATTTAGACTGGAGTTGAGGTATGCTGGCCGACACTTAAAGGTAACGTAGCCAAAAGGAAAGTGACGTATAAAGTATGGATAAATTAAAATCAAAGCCAAAATTTATTTAAACTAACGGAGGGTTTAAATATACGAAAACATTCCACGCGACGTCACGAACCCGTACACGTCGACCATGCGCCGCCACAAAGCGGCAAGCGCCTGCATGCGTTGACAGATTCCAAGGGAATATTCTGTTAACTCTAATGGACATACTTAATGACGTCAGTAACGGCGTGAGAATTCCGTTAACTTTAATAGAATATTCTCCTTCTTCCCCAGCTTTTCGGTCACCGTTGCCTCGCATCTGCCGTCGCCTGGTTCGCCGGAATTTGGAAAAATTTGGCTGGGTTTTTGTAAAAACATTAAAATTCTATTTGGCCAGATTTTTTGTAAAATTTGGCCGGACTCGTGGTGAGGAGAGGAGCACGATGGTGGTGGTTTGAAGTTCGATATGTGAGGTTTGATGATGGTTCTTTGTTGTTGTAGAGAGAAAAGAGGTACAGTGAGAGAGAAAAGAAGAAGAAGAGAGAGAGAGAGTTTCTGATTGTACAAGAGAGAGTTTCTGATTGGGTGATAAAAAATAGGGAGAAAGGTGGTTGGTTGGTGTGGTAAGTGAGGGACCGGTTTGAAAATGGGAAGGGGTCCAAATCTTGTACAATTTAAAAGTACACAAAAATCTAGCTCACCCTATCAAAACAGTGTTTCCAACTTTAAATAATCCACACACATGTACAATTTTACCCGTTGTTAACTAAACGTAACTTTTTCGTTACAAATTCGGTTCGGGTCTAACTTGTGCTCACGCGTTCATAAAAACGAGTACTATTTAATTACGATAATAGGAAAAAAAACATTTAAAAGCCAAACAACAACGCCCACGTTGGATTCCACTTTGCCAACAAGGGCATAATCGTCATTTTACATAATCGGGAAGGAAATTACATGGAAAATTAGGACGGATCGTCACACTTTTAATCCAATAATAATATTATGGAAAAAAAATTTACTTATGATATTGTATTATTAGGTTGATAAACTACAATGACGGTAAACTCATTTCATGTAAGTCATTCTTCTTTTAAAGGCCTATCATATTGTTTTTGTTTTGTTGGAAGAGTGTCTTTTTGGAAGTAAGAAACAATGAAACATAGTTTTTCTAAAGAAAACAATGAACAAACAAACAAGTGGCATTTTTATTCCTACCGTTGGAATGACGTCTATGTTCGAACACCCCCTTCTCCTCCTATAAAAAGAACAAAAAAAAAAGAGAGAGAAAAAGGGTAACAACCAAATGAAGGAGGTTAATAATTGTAACCTAGTTCGCATGCGCTGCATAAATTACTAAGTGAATGTATACACACCAAAATTCAGTGAGGCCTTAATGGTAACAACCTATAGCCGTTACATTTAATTCAGTGAGGCTTGGTGGCAAGTCACGGTTATCCACCAATTAGAGGTTATGGAAAATTTCACCTTACATGTGGTCACAGTCAAGCAGACTCACCAACTCGGAGCATCGAGTTATCGAATCTGGAACTTCCCACATTTATTTATTTATTAGAGAGCCGCATTTCTCGCCCTTACCATTGGACCACTTGTTGTGGTTGCTAAGTTACATTTAATTCACACGTGTATATTGGGGGAGATGTTTGAATTTCCTTCCTGGAACCTGGAAGGCTCAGTTATCTTCTCCATGAATCCGTTATGTACAGTTAGGTGTTAACAGTTAATGTTCTATTCAAAAGCAACATATGCTCTTCAAACAATTAACCTACCGCATGCTTGTGGAAAACGATACACGTAGGCCATAAATTCTTAACCCTTCCCTTTTGTAGCTAAGCAAATGTGGCTTAGGCCATCTAACATGGTTTGCACGACCATCTTCTTGCACTTGAGTTTTTTAAATTAGAATAGTGTACAACATAAATCGCCTTATACAAAGAAGAAGGTATCAGAAACATAGGGCAACAAAAACATGTAAATACATGTGTGTATTTTCTCTTTAAAATAAAAGTCACCATGAAATAACTGAAAATTAAAACTTGAGTATTACTAAGGAAAGGTTTCTTGTATCACTTGGTATCAAAGTGGGTTCAATTTTATTCCGTTCGGTTTTTTACCGGAACTAAAAACCAAATTGAAATTACTGTTTGATTCGGTTCAGATTTTTTCAATTTTTTGTTCAGTTCAGTTTATTTTCAATTCGGTCAATTCGGTTTGGCTTGGATTTGGTACATTTTAAGATTGTAATCTTCAAAGCATAACAGATAAAGTCATAATTCACCCTATAATTTATAAAACTTTATTTTCTTTTGATAAAACCTCGACGGTACGAGGGAAATTTTATTGATAACGAAAAAGAATGTACACCTAGTCAGGGGGGACATAAACCTTACCCCTCGTAAAATAAAAAAAATAAAAAAAAAAGAGAAAAATTACATGAAAAAGAAGGGGGGACATAAACCTTACCCCTCTTGAAATGAAACAAAGAAGATATATACAAGGAAAAGAGCAAAGTTGAAAAGTAAAAGAAGTGCAGGCTGCAACCATTTGATACACATACACCACCACACTGTTGTGCGAGCGTAAACAATTGTAGAGATGCAAGCATAAAGTTTCAACCAGGAACGAATCTTGAGCCACCAACATAGAAAGGGCGCTTCGGTTAACTGAATGAATGGTTCTGATTTAGTATCAGACGATCAGCGTATCACCATTCACTAGTAAGCAAAAACGAATAAGAAAATAATTGTAAGATTATTGGCATGGATTGAGAGACAAATATGGTCTGGATATTAATTTGGAGTAATTGAAGTGCAAATAAGAAATCAGAAGAAGTTAGAAAAGGTACCTGACCATGACGCCAACTTCTCTCTGGTCAAAAAACTTCTCTATGGTCAATGCTTATATTAGGGATGTGAGCAATCTTAGACCAGTCCTCACCTCTTTCTTTCTCGCATCTTGGCCTTAATAAGCTGGAGCAGTAGAAAATACGCAGTGTCTCTAAAGAGGTGAGGCGACACATCCCTTCTGGCAGTGATGCTAAATTAGGGCAAAATCCAATGACTAGTTCGGAAAGGGATGTGAGGTTACCTATTCCTTCCGGCAACTTTATCAAACGATCACAGCTATAAATACATAGAGTACGAAGGCTCTTAAGGGATTTCCACTGCAAGAAACTCTCATCCTCCTTCCACAAATCCAGCTCGTTGCAGCGCTTTATCTCTAGACAATCAAGTGCGGTGAGATGTTGGACGCTCGGAGATGGGGACAAAGGTATACCCCTCAGTCTACGACAACGGGACAAACTCAATTTCCTGAGAGAAGTGAGATTGCGCAGCCATCTCTCTGGAACACATTCTATATCCTCAATGCCTTCAATTGCCAAACTTATTAATTTGGAAAGAGGAGAAGAGGAGGAAGCGGAGACATGCGGGTCAGATGCTCCAGAGTCTAAAGGAGAGAAAATAGAGAAGAGGGAACAACATGTACAAGCAGATGATGTTGTTTCTGCTGGTGCCAAAATGTCTTCATCACCGATCATCATCGTCTCTTCTAATGGCTTCAAGCTGGTATTATGCAAGCACAGCCCGTCTTCAAGATGTGGATAGAGTGGCATGGAAGTTAGGTTAGGACAATCCAAGACATCTAATAGAGAAAGACAGGGAAATGAAAGCGATGACTGCTGTATATGCTGATGCTCATACTCTGTCATTGGGGAGCCAATTAGAGCACTCTGCTTCCACCATCCCTTGAGATTAGGACAATTCCATAGGTAAATTGCCTTTAAGGAGGGGAAGAATGGACTTCGTGATGGCGACGATGAAGCTTCTGAAATGTACTCCAAAGCATTAAGCCCATCAAGTCTAAGAACCTTAAGACAAGGTAAATGATCAAACGGCGGGAGATACTGACATGTTTTGCAGTGCTTCAAACTGAGATTAACAATATTTGTGAGAGAAGAAAGCCAACCTGCAAACTTCACACCGTCAAAAAAATACACCGATAACTCTTTCAAATTTGAATGAGGTTGCAGTGCTTCCAATAACATTTCACCATTTTCAGCCTCATTGACGTCACCTGTAGTATTTACCTTCCACCACAAAGACAACGAAGTAAGACTCTGTTTTTCCTTCATATTTGCAGAGTTTGCTTCTGACACCATATCTTTCCCGTTCCACATTTCAATGCTCATATTTCCCGTCAAGTTGTTAAGCCTGTTCAATACGCCAAGCCCAGCACCGCCCCTTGAGATGCAACCGTCTTCACTCAAAACAAATCTATCCAATGTCCGAAGACAAGTCAATTCTCCCAATCCATACGGCATATGATTCAATCTGTCGCAGCCAACTACCATGAGATGCCTTAAATTGAACAATTTATTAATGTCTCTTGGCAGTTCCACAAGCTTATCACAACGTGACAGATCTAGGGTTTGTAGATTCTGAAGTCTAACTATCCATTTCGGGAGCCTCTTAATGCGATTTCCACTAAGATCGAGATATCTTAAATGTCTCAGTTTACGTAGGGAATTTGGTAATGCTATGATACACAATTCATTCAGACTCAACATGCGCAATGACTTGAAATTTGAAGCAATTGCATTGCAAAATGACTTAGACCCATCATCACCAAAACTGTACAAATATTTGCTAATATAGAAAAATGTCCGCAACTTATGTGCCTTTAGCAAAGACGTAGGAATTGTTTTACTTAACCACGGACCAATTGAAAAATTCGCATGACGAAGATTTTCAGAAAAATTATCCTCCTTTTCAACTACTATGGTGATTTCCATCCCAGACACTGATTTTGCAAGGTCGTGCATGAGGTCGTGCATTTTACAACTACTTATCATACCAAACTCATCATATGTTACCTCTTGGAAAAAAGATCTCCACACCAATTCCAAAAAATATTCATAACCAACATCTTCCAAACTCTCATTTTGATCTAAAGACTTAACAAACCCTTGTGCCACCCAGAGGTTAACCAATGTCTTTCTATCAATCTCATAATCTTTAGGGAACAAGCTACAATATGCAAAACAATGTTTCAAATGTGATGGGAGGATATCATAGCTTAGCTTAAGTGTTGGTAAAATATCACTTGCTTCCTGATTTACTTTTGAAAGATCGTTATTCTTGAAAGCCAACCATTCATTTGCCCTATTCTTAGAGTAGAGCATTCGCCCTATGGTCCTTATAGCAAGTGGGATGCCCTTACATTTTCCAACAATCTCTACCCCAATTGCCTTAATACTTGGATTTTCTGACTCTTGTTCTGTTTTGAAGGCCATTTGCTTAAATAAAGACCATGATTCTTTTTCTTCCAAACCCCTCAAGAAATATGGCTTATTTGTGTCTACAACTACTTCACTACGAGTGGTTATCAATATTCTACTACCTCTTGCACCACCCATCAACAAGCTTTTCAAACTAAGCCATTTTTCCCTATTGTCATTCCATACATCATCTAACACAAGGAGGTATCTCTTTCCATCTATTAGTTTTCGGAGGTCATTTTGCAATTGATCCAACTCAAGGTTTCCCGGTGTCCTACTAGTGATTTTTGCAACAAGCACATTCAACTCAAATATATCAGAGACGCATACCCATATTTTTAACTCAAAATGTTTTTGGACTGTCTCGTCGTTGAAAACAAGTTGGGCTAGTGCAGTTTTTCCCAAACCTCCAATCCCAACTAAGGAAATTATTGACACATTCTCTATAGGAATAGGATCTAACAGAAGTCCTACAATTTCCCTTTTATCCTTATCCCTCCCTATGATTTCTTCCTTACGGACAAATGAGTGACTTTCCCTCTCTTTACTTACAAATCGTGCCTCTTCGAGACGCTCATCGAATTGAAACCTTTTGTCAGCCTCAATCACATTAAGCGTCTCCCTAATTTCTTTTATCTTATGACCGATCTTTAGCCGAAAAATAAGTTGGTTTGAGCTTGAGAAAAATAGGCGTACCTTCTTCGAAAATTTATTTCCAGTTACCATTTGTCTCCACCGAGCTTCAGTGTAGAATTCATCTAGCAAGTCGTCAACATCATAAATTACATCTTCTAGGCTTTTCAGCCACTCTGTGACTCCATGATTGGCCTTCTTTTTTTCTGCATCAAGAAGAACATTTTTAATTTTGGTAACTGTCTTCTCAAGCTTTTTGAGCTCATCTTTGACACCGTAAAGCAATCCCATCTCTTCAAGAGCAAGTTTCTGCAAGCTTCCAATGATTCCTTCGGCAATGTTGAAGAGGACCCCTTCCGCCATCGTCTTGATTGAGGATAAGATTAAAGCAAAGCTGAAAGTATAGAGTTGATTGTAGGAGGTATGAATTTGGTGATCTAAGATGGATCCTCGCTGCTAATATTTATATGGCATTGCAACCCTATCTCTGGTAACTAATACTTAAGCGAAGTATATGATTCTAACTTGTTAATGATGCGATTCTTAGATGAACAAGATTGAAAATCAAAAGGTAAATAAACAAAACAAGCTAGAATGCTTTATTCTTAACTTGCTTGGTTTGTTAGCTTGATATCAATGCTACAACTATTCTCCCCAACCTTAGAACGTTGGTTGACAACTTGGCATCGAATGTGAAAATTAAGTAATTGTAGACTGAAAATTCATTGATCCCAAGCAAAGCAAGGTATGTCTCTATAACTTGAACAGGTACAAATCTTTTCTTTTTCATACAAGCAATGTTATACTTTAAACTAATCTAAACTGTAGCAAGTGAGTTTCAACATCGAGTGCATTGGGAGAGAAGCACATCCATTCTAGTCAATGTGGCCACGCCAGCATCTAGGGAATGTTTCAAACTTAAGGCATATGGGAAATGATCATAGAATGTGTATCCCACTAAAGAAGAATGATATTCCTTTTGTTCATGCACACATTACACGATGTTTCCCGTTATTGTTGAAGTAAGGAATAACCCATAACAAAGGCTAAAAACTCTTGCTTCAGTTCATTGGTTCGATGAAAAAATTTGTTTCGACTATAAAGAAAAAAGGCCAGCTATAGGGCCAAGTAGACCTGTAAACGGGTCGGATTTATTGGTTTGGGTCAGGTTGAACCCAACCCGTTAAGTTAACGGGTCATCCGAACCCAACCCGTTAAGCTAACGGGTTACCCGAACCCGACCCGTTAAGCTAACGGGTCACCCGTTTCACCCGTTAATAATTATTTTTATTTTTATTTTTTCCATAAAGTTTAATTTTTGTCATTAAGATTTTACTAAAATTACTAAAATATCCTCAACTAACGGGTGCTAACGGGTGTTAACGGATCCTAACGGGTCTAACGGGTTGACCCAAAGTGACCCGTTATTTAACGGGTTGTTAACGGGTTCACCCGATAACGACCCGACCCGTTAAGCATCCACCCAAATACAAATATTAACGGGTTAGGTCGGATTAACGGGTTGGGTCCAAAATGCCAGGCCTAGGGCCAAGTCTATTTTTATTTACCTAAAATCGCACAACTCGAGACTACCAACTTCGAGGCCCAGTCTAATATCTTATCCAAGGGCTCGGACAACCGCTTGACATTACGGCTTGTCGTTAGATTAACATGTTACTTACCAAATATATATGGGTCATCTCCATAATACACACCCATTAGGGCCCGGATAATATGACCTCAGCCCATCTCCTATATCACATGCAATGCAATGATCCAAATATAATAGCAACCCCGCCATCAATTATATGGGCCCATATGTATATACATATATATAAAAAAGCACTTAAATGCTAACGAGTTAGTAATTTAATACGGTACTATCCACGTTTTTAGATTGACACTATATCACATGCAAGCGCTCCTATATATGAAACACAACTATAGAGCCAAAACACCTTTTTTCTCCTTTCGAAATTTGAACATGAAGCTTGGGAAAAAAAAAAAAAAAAGCAAACAAAGGGTATAAGAGTTTTGTTTAAGAAAGCGGTCACGTGCCTGTCACACAAGCATCAAGTGACGTAACAACTGACGTAGCGTTGCTATCTTTGAGCCTCTCTACAATAAGTTAACATACATGATTTAGCTAGTGTTGCTTGTTTCTTGCCACTACAAATGTGTATTGGGCCAGAAATAGTGGCAAGAAACTGTTTGGACCTAACCACGCCTATTAACTCCCCAACTAGATTAATGGGCTGATACTTAGTCCAGCCCACTAGGTTATGTGTTTGCTGGTCCAGTTTATCTTTTTGGATAACATTTTCTATCTTATTTTTTTCACATTTTTTTTGTCATAAAGAGAGAGAGAGAAACAAAAAGGCTTTTATTTATTTATTTTTTTCTAAAAAAAGATATTGAAAATTAACTTCTTTTTTTTTTTAACAAAAAATATTCTTTACGCTAAGGGGGAGAGGATAGGCTAAGCCTCACAATGAGCTAGCAATAATATGATTTAAATTCACCTTTGTCGAGAATCGAACATGACGTCTCACTTACAAGTGAAGAATTGACTAGTTTTGTATTGTAGAAATATGACTCCTGGTATTGATGTGTGAAAAATATTACAATATATATAGGGTTATATTAATTTGTATTGATGTAGGAATCCTAAACTAATTACAATTGAAAATTGCATTACTATAATACATGCTACAATCACGGAGAGGATGGGACAAGTTTGGAAAAAAGAAGTTCATGACGAGGCTGATGAAGGGCTTTAGTGAGAAGATCGGCTGGTTATCAGCAAAGGGAATATAACCAACACGATGACTACCAATAGCCACTTTTTCACGGACAAAGTAATCGAGTTCAACGTGACGTCTACTTGCATGATGGACCGAATTAGCAACAAAATAAGCAGCACTCAAATTATCACAATGCAAATAAAATATGAGTACTCAATCGAACCCCAAGCACACAAAGAAGAAAGCAAACCTAAGTGGTCTCAACATGTGCATGAGCAAGGGGGTGATATTCAAACTCAGCATAGAAGCATGAAACAATATGACTGCTTACAAGAAACCTTATCAAACTTCGTAAGTAAATCATGAACATATTTACGTTGGTGAACATGTAGGCTAGTGGAGTCATGAGTAACTTGTAAGCCCAAAAAGTAACTGAGAGAACCTAAATCTTTAATGTCAAATTGTTTACCAATTAGATCAACAAACTGTCTAATAAGATCGAGGTAGCTACCAATGACAACAATATCAGCCATATAAAGAAGCAAAAATATGTTGTGAGTTAGGTGCAAACATATAAAAAGAGAGGATTCAATTGTACTTTGAGTAAATCCAAGAGTCAAGAGGAAAGAATGTAATCGGTTAAACCAAGCACAAGGAGCCTGTTTGAGATGATAGAGAGATTTATGAAGTCGATAAACATGGTAGGGGCGTGCGGGATCAACAAAGCCAGGGGCTGAACCATGTAAACATCTTTATGAAGAAACTCATAAGAAATGCATTTTTGACATCTAATTGACGTAAAGGTCAATCTCGAAAACAGCAAGACTGAGAATAATGCGAATGGTGGTAGGCTTAACAAGTAGGCTAAAAGCCTCGGCATAGTCAATATTTGTCCGGTGACGGAAGTCATTTGCCACATGACGAGCTTGATACCTTTCAACAAAGCCATCTAAAAGTCTCAGCATAGTCAATGTTTGGCCGCTGATGAAAGTCCTTCTCTATATGACGAGCTTGATACCCTTCAACAGAGCCATCTAAATTACGCTTAATACAAAAAACACATTTGCAGCCGAATGTCATATATAATGGGCTTAGACCCTATGCGAAGCAAAGTTCCAAAAGTGGGCGTAGGCCCTGATGAGATCTAAAGCCCAGAATCACGTAGGCTTTGAGAGGTAGGCAATGATGGATTTTAGGGTCAAGAGGCAGGCCTCGTGAGGTGGATGGGCCATAAGGGGATGATAGGTCTAAGGCAGACCTAAAGAAGGCAGATGAAGGCATGTGCAATGGGATGGCACGCACTAGAGACTCATACACTCAAGGGACTATTATAGGGGCATTAGGCTAAATTGGTGGTGTGTTGGCCAGGGGACAATGATGGCAAAATTAGTTTGTGCAACATTTGAGTGAGATGGCGTAGGTGATGGGAAGTTCCATATAATTCAAGGATGGCTTGCACCGAAGACTCATAGGACTAGTATAGGGGCATTAGGCTGAATTGGTGGTGTGTTGGCCAGGTGACAAGGATGGTGGAATGAGTTTGTGCAACATTTGAGTGAGATAGCCTAGGTGATGGGAAGTTCCGTATAATTCAAGGATGGCAATATCTGCAAAGTACTATAAGGAAAAGATGCTTCGTTAAAAATAAGAAAGTATTATTCACACATCCTCGTTAATTTTGTTGCCATTGATTTTTTTTCAATTCATTCGATCAAAGGCTGAAAATTGAGAAGGGTGTGTGAGAAGTAAATATGGGTATGTGGATATGACTACCCTAAAAATAACATGACGAGATACAAAGACACGACTAGTGGAGGGATTAAGACAATGGTAAACTTTATGATGCAGGCTATATCCTAAAAAGACACATGTTTTAGAATGACTTTCTAACTTATGAGCAAAAGAAGGTTCAAGATGAGCAAAACAGAGACAACCAAGCACATGAAGATGAGAATAAGTTGGAGGATGACCAAAAAGAACAACTTCAACCCATAAGGTGTGAGATAAAAAAAGGTATTGCGAAGATTAAAATTGGAAGAATCAAATGAAAGAGAGATGCTACAGGTATAGTAATGTGCATACTATCACCATTACTCAAATAGACGTTAGAAGGACCCGCATAAGGTCTCGCAGTTGGAACACCAAAGCTGGTCCAACAATAGAAGGAGACGAGTTGGGCCGTGAGCGGCGATGTGCAGGCTGCTGGAGCAGAGAGGTGTGATAGATTGGGCCTGCACCTGGGAAAGACAGTTGAATGTTGTTGATTGGACCCGTGCATTGAGAAAGCTGCGGCGGCATGTTGTGGGCTGGGGCCGCACCAAAGAATTGGTGCGGCTTATGGCTGCCATGTTGCCATAGTCTTGGCAAATGGGAATTGGGCTGGGTCTTGTGCGCTGAAGAGATGCAATTAGGGAGGAAAACAAAAACCTGAAGGAAGTAATGGACAAAACATTAAACTAATAGCCTAATTGGAAGACACAGGACGGAAGGTAGGATTGTTATTTATTTATTATGTTTTGCTTGTGTGAGTGATGCAGAGAAGACAAAAGGCTAGGGCAGGTGGGTAAACAAAAGAGACCAAAGGGTGGACGACAGGAAACCGAAAAATGGTGGAGACTAGTAACTGGTTTGTGATTGTTTTTCTCTTTGTGTTGACTGTATTGGACGGCAAGAGAGAGAGAAAACCCTAGAGACCAAAGAGAAAATTTGTGACGAATAATATTATATAGAAAATGACTATTTGTATTAATCTCAATTACAATTGAAATTTATAATACTGTTACACTCATAGAAAAGATTCTGGATTAATTAATAATATCTACAATTAATTAATTA